CTAAAGAACAGTACTAGGGAGGATTCTTGGCCACAAGCAAAGAAAAAAAAAATCTTGAGAAAACAAAACCAAAAAACACCCTGGCATAATTTTTTCTCTTAGCTTCCAAATCATGACAATGACCTGAAAAAAAATTTCTTAAAAACTCAAACCTCTATTTATTCCCATTCTTCGAAAAAACAAATCAGTCAGATCAGGCTATGGCAAAGCTGGAACAACAGTGCACAGAGCTGGGAAGACCTGTGGTTGAGAATGACACTGTACTAAGCACATATTAAATCCGTGCTCGCTTCATCATCTGCAAAATACAGCTGGCAGACCCCAAGTGCCATTCTGAATCAGCACAATCATGCTGGGGTTGGGTGCAACAATTCACACATTTGGACATAAGGCTAACTGGCTTTGTGGGCTTAGTATCAGCTTTATTTTCAATTAATTTTGCACGCCTTTCCACATCACAGTCAACTATTTTGAGGCACAACCTATTTAGCTGAATTTTCTCCAGCAATGAGTCATCACGTTAAGCCTCCCACTGATGGAGTTGCACTACGTGTAACCTCTGAGTACTGCTCTCTCCCCAGTTCCCATGGGATGGGGAAGGCTCTGCAGAACAAGCAGCACAGGATTCAGGGAAGACCTTTCAGAAGAGACCTAACATTTACACTGAGGATATGCCCATTTATTGCTCTGACATCAACCATGTTTCCCGCAGATTAAATGCATTAAATTACATGACTGAGGGAATACACAATTAAACTGCAAAATGAACACAGACTGGACATGGAAAAAGGCTTCAGAGATATGAGACAAAAAATAATCGTAATTTGTATTTACTTCTGTTCCACATGTTAATTTCTCTAGCCTTACACCACTGGGAAGACAAACAGTCCATCTGCAGATCTCCTACCACTGGATACATCGTCAGGAAAAGTGCAATTGAGAAAGGGCGTTTTTCTGAGTATTGCTTTACCTCCGTACGCAGCTCTCCTGAAAGGCTGGTAGACTGCTTATTTTCTGTGCCATATTACAGTTCCAAACCTTCACAGAGAAGTTATCCAGGTTGTTAAAGGCACATGGCATTGCCTGTGTTTTGTGATAGGACAGAGTGTAGTTTAAAAACTTCCAGACTAAATATTACTACATAATGGCCTGAAATTTCAGGGACTCTACTCAATCCTGATAGTCATTGCCATTTCTGCTTTTCCAGCTTGCAACCTCTGTGTTCTCACTGTATACTCTAAGCACTAAGGTAACCCACATTCAAATGAATAATTTCCTATTAAACACCTGGATGAAATTACACTGTACAGAAATGCAGTGCTTGCTCCCCAAGAAAAGGACAAAGCTAACTCTACTAACGCACCAAGCGCCTGTCACATTGCCTTCTCTTTCCTTCCAGTTCAAGCACATTAGGTGTAGTTCTGCTTCAATAAATTAAAGCATGTGCTTTCCTCCAGGTAAACACCATTACAGTGACAGACCCACTCCTTTTAACAGTTAATTATGAGTTCAGAGTCACAACAGCCTTTTTTTGGTCAGTATTAATCACTTTCATCTTAAGCTTTGGCAAAGTACTTAAAAAGATGGGAAGATTTATATATATATATATCTATATCTATATATATCTATATATCCCACATCTAGCAGAGGTAAAGAGCATTTACGACTAATCTGTGCTCCAGGAGACGAGATGAAGCTATGAAAAGGAATAATCCCAGGAAACAGGCTTTTGAGCAAACAGAGATAAACAGAGGCTGATCAAAGGCAAAGAGCTGGAAAAAGCTCACTGCAGAGAAGCTGCGGGGATCTACTTTAAGCTATAATGGAAAAAACAGGTATTATTTAAATAAGCGACCATAAACTTGCATTCACAACTAAAGCTTGATTTTTGCAAAACATTTAATATATCACAGTAGCCCGTACAGTTATTTCCATTAAAGTGCACCACAGGGCATAACTGGCCTTCTCACTGTCATGAACTGTGACGCATCAAAACAGAAAACAGGATTTTTTATTTTGCAGCCACTCCATGATCTAAGTTTCAGTACACACAAATGAATTGGCAAACCAAAAATACCATTTAGCACCAGTGAAGCATTCATGGAATAAATTTGCTTTGAACAAAGACTTTGAGGATGAATCAAACCGCAGGTTCAGATATGTTTAAAGTCTGAACTGTTCAGATGGCTCTTACGAAAGATCTAAACTTTCCTGTTTGCCTGATCTTGCCTCCAGTGGTGCAAACATTTGAAAGAGTCCCAGGTAAGTGAAGAGTGAAATGAATCCTAATCCTGTTAATCTTCCCACTGTGTTCTATCTGAGACTCCCTTCCTTGCTGGCCCCAGCTGAGGAAAGTGTTTAAGGCACCAAGACCTGGCTCAGCCACATCAGTCAGGCCAAATGCTGCTTCTGTCAAAGCACTGTGATACAGAGATAACATAACTGACTAGAAAAACACAGGCAATGAAAAATTAGCAAATATATATTGAAATCAGTAATATGCTAGTAAGATTTGGAGACAAAAATTCCCTGGATAATTCTACAGACGTAGAAAGACAGCTGTGCTGGAACAAGAATACCTCAATGCAGAAAAGCAAAAAAAAACCCACAACACCCAGAAAAAGACAAAGTGTTTCTTGTGGTTGCTGTCTATTGGAATTCCCCACAAAATATGAAAATTTATCTTTAAAATGTTACACTTTTAAAAATATTGAAACATTTAACAGCTGTTAAAAGCTTATTTGTGCCTTTGGAACAGGACATCAAAATGCCGGTACTCTGCAGCACTGTGAATAGCTGCAAGTCTCTCGTAGAGAGGCCGTATTTTTATTTTAATGATAAAACTGTATTTGGGAGAGGGAAGTCAGACAAAGGTGATGGCAAATATGTGAACAAAAAATTCGTAACCTTTAGTTTCCAGTTAAAGTGCAAGGAAGCAAAGACTTGCTCTGAAACAGAGTCAAAAAGTGCAAAGAAAAGATCTGCAGTACCAGGCCAACAGTTGGCACATGGTCTCTGGGTATTGAGAAAGACACGTACACCAAGATTTCCAAATCCTTAAGCAGTGTTAGAGCCCATGGGAGTTTTCCTGTATGTTTCAATGGATTAGGCTTTCACTTTGCTACGTTAAGCAACAGTCCATGTCTACAAAATCAACTGTCTGGTGTAACAGGCACATATTGGGAAACTTGCTTTTGTCAGGCATGACTTTTGTTTCTTTTTATACCCTGTAGTTTTGAGAACCTGTGCTATATTAACCCATTTAAATACTGCAGAATTATCAGTCTGATCATACATCTCAGTAGTCACAAAAATACCAGGAGACTGGATCATCCAGAGAAGTGAAGAGCAGCAGCAGTATCTTTACAGACATCAGGAACAGATTCTCAAAGACACAAATACTGATAAAGTTTAAATGGTTTTCTTTCATTGTTTAAATAAAAGTTTTGACAATAAGCATATCCCACATTATTTCTGTAATAAAAAGTTTGTATGACACTAGTTAGAAGTGGACAGAAATATCCATAGTGATTGCACAAAACATTTGTGAAACTGAACATCATTTCAGCAAGTCAGTTGGTTCAAAAACAACATTTCCTGTTAAAAGGCTTTGTCTATATAGCAAAGTTATATAAAGATAACCTAAAATAGAAACTTAAATTTAATGAAATTAGTCAGAAAGCCTTCTGGGTATATAATCCTTTTTCATGGTGAAAGTGGCTTATGGCCTTGCTTAGCTCTACTGGGAGCACGCTTACATTACATCAAAAGAATGACCACAAATGAATTTGCATTGTTTAAACAAACTTAGTTAAAACAAATATGAGTTAATCAGTGCAAATTTTCCAAAAAGTCAGCTTAAAAGGCAATTGAATGCAAAAACAGGAGGAGCTTGGAAAAAAAACAAAACCCACAACCCAACATCATAACCTCCCAAAACAGCTTCTTTCTGACAGGTGATTGGTTTCTAAGGATGACAGCAACTCCCACTGAATTCAGCTGAAATTCGGGTGAATACAGCTCTCCTCAGAGGCAGACCACGTGTGGAACAAACACTGCTGTATTTATTGCAAATGCTGCCATTGTGTTGCTGGAGCCGAGATGTTGGGATGGCAAAAAGAAACATGCCTAGATTAGACTATGGTGCATCATAGCCTGTATTCAGCAAAATAATCAATCACCCTGGAGTCAAACACCACAGACAGATCAAGTCTGCTCTCAGATCAGCGGACAGCATCTGCAGCCTCACCCAGAGACATTTTTGGCTGTCCTGCTCATCACTACAACTTACAACACTTCAAACAAATTTTGTGCAATTGTGTCATGAATAAGCCTTTATGAAATAATAAAAAGCTTTTCAAGATAAAAACTATGCTAAATGTCTGATTGATATGATGAGTAAACCCATCCCACCTCATACCTATTCATTATATAATAGTAGTGTTTTATTCAGTAGTGGGTTTGCAGCCACAGCTTTCTGTGCAATCAAAATTAAGTAGCTTATTGATATTGCTGGATAAGCAAGGATAAATATTGCTTCAAGCACACTGCTTTGCAGCTCTTAGGATAAACAATGTGTTTCATTCATTATCAAGCAGACTATTCAGGAAATAGCAGTTTAAACTAACTTGTTCCTAACATCCAAATTTCATTGTTCAGAATTCTAGAAGAAACATACCACAAAGCGCTCGTTACAAAGCGTGCAACTTTTAAGACTTTAAAAAAATTAAATCTCCAATTCTCATATTAGACTTGTTAGCAAAATTGGAAGTTTTTTTCTGTTAAGAATAAAATGACTAAATATTACATATACTTCACCCAAGGAGAAAGTTAAGGCTCGTTTTTCAAGAGTTTCCTTTTCAAAGGCAGGCACGAATTTAAAGTCACAGTCTGCTTAAGACATTACATCTCCGATTTACTCTCTGTTGCAGAAGGTGCAGGCAGCAAAGAAGCATGTGTGGCAAGTTACTGTATTTAACACTTGATAACATGAGATGTTCTAGTTTCACAACAGAGCTATATACTGCTTTAGTGAGTATTGATACTTTTGCAACACTTAACAGCACTGTCATTATTAGAGCTTTCCCATAAGGCAGTACAAATAGGAGTATTAAAAAAAAAAGTTTGAGGTTTGGATCATCCACAATATTTTGACATAAATAAATCAAAAAGAAAGAGGGAGAATTCATTTGAGATCAGTCAAGCTCTTAAAGAGCAAAGATCTCTGTCAGCCTTTGATCTGCTCCTCCGTTTATTAGGAAGAGGAAAACAGGTTTCATCTCTGATCTCTTTGCTGAGAACACCAGTCAGCAGCTCCTAAACAAGAGCAGACCTCTTCCAACACCAATATTTTTCTTCCAAGGGAGAAACGCATTACCACCTGCCAGCCACTGGCTAGTACAGATTTGGTGTCCTCCAGCCCATTACCTTGTTCCTTACAGTGGAAATACAGTAGCCATTTCTACATTCAACTACTCCAGTACTGAAAGAAAAATCCAAACATTTTAAAATTTATCTGCTGTAACTGTATTTCTTTGAACTCAAAGGTATATTTGGAAGAGGTAGTCCAGGGGAAAAGGGTTTCAAGTACCAAAATCTGTATGTCCCATACCAAGCTGACAAACCTATCAGCACACCGAGGAGCTTTTGACTGAAGTCATGGAAATACACGGCAGTACAGAGAAACATGAACACCCAGATCATGGTGAGAAAACACAAGGAAACAAACAGGATGTTGATCACAACATGCAGCTTAGAGTTCTGGTCTATGGACAAGGCTTCCAGCACAGCCACTTCCTCCACAATCATCAGAGCACAGTACGAGAGCAGGAAACAGTGACCTGAGATATCAAAACCATTCCAGATGCCGTTGTCCTGGTGGCACTCCTGCTTGGTGGCGTACAGCCGGCGAGGGTCGCCGAGTTTACTCGAGGTAGAGCACGTGCCAGTGAGATTCTCAACATACATGAAGAGTCTGGTGCACACGTACCAGATGGCAGTGCCCACCAGCAGCGCACTGAGACGCCGCAGCACCATCAAAACGCTCTTCGTGGGACCATAGAGGAACTTGCTCTTGGCAAGCTGGTAGGTGGTGACTGCGATGAAGGGCAGCAGAAGCCACAATGTCCATGCCCAAGCCACCTTCACAAAATATCTGCCAGAGAAAAGCCAAAAGAGAAACATGCATGTGTAAAACTTCACAGGAGCTGAGGTAAGTGGTGGTTCTTGAAGTAGTAGGTTTTTCAAGATCAGTGTTCACAACTATCTAAATTAGACACTTGTGCCCTCTCCTCAAAGTAAAGCATAGCTACAATCTTAACCCTCTCCCCACTATTTCTCTCAGGCCCAACACCTGAATACTTCCTCAACCAGGTACTTTGTTTCCCAGGCAGTGTTCCCTTGGACCCAAGCCCTCGTTCAGACTTGCAGTTCACTTTTGCAATAGCTTTTACCCTATAAACCCGCTCAACTCTGCCCTACTCAAAATGCAGCTGCAGAGAATGTATTTTTAGCTTGCCACCCTGACCACAGTAACCCTTTTCTCTGACTCTCTTCCTTCACCTCAGTTATCGTTGCTTTCAAAGCCCTTCACAACCTCAAACTCTTCACCCTGAATAAGATAGCCAGAAGGGCTGACTCTTCCGTCATCATGAAGCCTTCCCTCTGTCATCACCTTCTAAAATAAATGAAGAAACACAATGTGTTTGATCCTTTGCTGTCCCTCCAGTTGGACAGCTTTCCTTTGCCACACACAAATTCTACCATCTCTAAATTCACCCTCTGCCTTGAAAAGTTTTGCTGTGATGACCATAAAATTTTAAAAACCAGCTGATGATATCCTGTTTAGGAGACAATACTGCTTAACCAGTTCTCTTTTCAAATCTTAATGTGGAGCACGTGCAAGTGAATTTACTAACAAGTTAAGGAGATCATAGTCTACAATCTTCTTTCTCCCATTAGCACCTTCCAATGCAGCTTGCTTCCTATCAGCTGGTGGGAGAGGGGAACTGTGCAGCTTCCTTATACCCATACCCTGGTTTCAGAAACAGAGACAGCAGAATTCTGGTCTGTGGCTGAGCTATAGTCATCATTTAATCATCACCTCAGCACCAAAACCAAGTAGGAACAGCGTCATGTACCTTCATTAAGACCTTAACAAAAACTGTCATGGTCTTGCCCAGGATTTTGAGGAATACCTCCTTTACTCTTAATTTTACAGAAGTGGCACCTGTTTGGCAACTACAGCTGCTACCATGAAATAGTAATTGAAAACAAAATCCTCATTTTATTGAGCAGTTAAAAGCAAAGAAGGCTGCTAACATAATTGCTGCTGGCAAACCAGCAGGCGAGTTATTTACGGGGGAAAAAAATTGCTTGAGAAACTGTCAGTACAGATGATCTTCCTCTATTTAAAAAAGGAGAATTGAACTGTATTATGTTTTGACTGCAAGATCAATTTCACACTCTTAAGTGTTCCTGCCAATCTTTCTTTTCAATCACACTAAAAGCAGCTCCTCTCCTGCGTCACCAATTACAAATTCAGATCAATAAAGTACAAAATTCCCCAAGTCAGAGGAGAAACCAGCAATTTCAGCTTTACTTTCTGGTCAGCAGCAGTTAAAGCACCCATGCACTGAGTGCCCAGCTCACTGACTTCCTTATGCCCTTCAAAATGTTCAAACGTAGTTTTAAAGAGTGACTAAGCCAGTTAAATCACTGCTTAAGTACTAGAAAGAAGTGGCAGCAACTCTGCTCTTACAAAACACGCTAAAAGAATTTTCTTCATCTGCTTTTAGATCAGTTCAGTAACAATCAGTTTACTCGAATGTGAGTAATTACCGAGGGGCTTAAGAAAAAACTTCCTTTTCCAATGGCAACCGAATGGGAAACTCCAGTTGTTCCCAAACAAGTGAAGGAGTTAACAGTCCCCCGGACCAGCAGGCGTTAAGGCCAGGAAATGTGACAGCACCCCCGGCCCAGCTCACGCTCACCGGCTCGCCCACACCCCCGGCGCGGGGCCCGGCCCGGCGCACAGTCACAGAGAAGCCACCCTCAGCCGAGCCCCCCGCCCCCCAGCAAGGGCCTCCCCGCCCCGAGGCCGCTC